GCGAAGTTGCTCTGCTCTCATATATTTTGGAAATTCAAATCAACTGTGCTCAATGATACCGTAAATGTGCATAAATGCTCTTCTTGGCCACTCTAATGATTTAATGAAAATGAATAAAGTGCGGGTTTATATCTCGCTATATCTTACATTCAAAAAGCCTTTTTCTCTCAAATGCAATGGTGAAACTTTATTGGGACTTCAATATTTACTTTTGGTTATTTAATTAAATTTATTGGTGTCACGTGTATTTTTTTGTTCTAACCAAGTAGTAGTATATTTTCAAACTTTGAATAGCACTCTTGTTTCTTAGATCTTAACGTTTATTGAATCGTTGCCCTACGGTTAAGATTTCAAAATCACCATTGTTTAAAGATACAAAGTTAGATCCTTATCTTAACCCCAATTGATTTGTATAATTAATTCACCTCTTATCAGTCTCCATAAATAACAATATTACTCATGTTATGTTCACTGGTAATGACAAAATTGTTTCAAATTCGGTAATTGAATACTATCAGTATTAACGCGCCTTTTATAATGAACCTTATTGTTTCGACTAAAAATTAATCTTCAGTTATTCATTATGAATAATTTAATTTGCCCTAGTACCATTGTAAATCAGATATATCTGTAAGGGAGTTCAGATTCATTTTTGCACGAATGCTGGATGTATTTAAGCCCATATGGTTCTACGGGATACGATATACATAGTTGATGATCGGACAATAGAGCGGTCGGAGGTAACCCTGCGGCGAGCTGCTATGAAATGCATGAGAAGGTAAAAGTGATTTGTTTATGGATGCGTCCATAATTCAGGTCAGGGCGCGGTAACTAAGTGGCACTTCCAGCGATTTGATTTGCTCCACGGTTTTTTATACGTGAAGAGTACGCGTGTCGAGAACTTGGGAAGCTTGTTCTATTTAAGGGTTATCAAATATAAAAATAACTATTCAACGTTACCTTTAATAGTAAAAATCATGTAAGTATGTTTTCATTATAAACTTGTATTCATGATATATAAAGTACATGTATGTATACACTTATCTCCATAACTTATAAAAAAAAGATAATTTCAGTTGGAATATTTATTGTAGAAAGCATGGTAGCGCAAGTTCCAATCCCGTAGGGCCGAAAGCTATTGTTCATTTATCTCCAAAAAAATATAAATTTGTGGTGGTAAGATTTTTAAAGCACACAAGCATAAATTAATTTGAAAAACCCCTAGCCGATAGGTCAAATTATCTAGTGATAATAATTGAAATAAAAAAATCTTTAAACAATTTTTACTGACCACAATGCTGAACTGCAATAATCTTTGAAACGAATTCTGTCCTCTCTCGAAAGTCGTAGAGTACTCGTAGCGCGCAGTTGAATGCTACGGAGGGACGTAGAGCTAAGTATGGAGGCTCGTCGGCGTCTACGCGGAATTTCGTCTAGTGATGTTCCGTTTCGAAAGTAAGGTCGATTTCCAAGATACATATGTTTTGCTTATTTGTAACATTTATTCATTATTCCACGACTTTCAAATCATTGTAAAATACAAATTTTAGCACATTTTTTTACTAATGTAATGTCTATAGGACAATTTTTTTTAACATTTATAAGCAAAAATCACGTATGCTTTACGTTCTTGTATTTCCTAATGATTTTAAATTTAAGCATTTATGCATACGGGAGGTTCTCATTGATTATTGAAACTAGGCGCTGAAAACTTTTTAACTTTTTTGGTTTTTAATTCATTGAACAATATAGTTCTTTTATGCTGTTGTACTGTAAATATTGAATCTCGGTTTAATCTTAGCGCACATTTCGAAATGCGTCAATATATTAGTACATGCACAATAAAATTAAATTACTCATACCTTTTTCATATTCTATTCAATTAAACTTTTATTTACATAACCTCACACCTGATTATAGGGTAATATTTCACAAAATACAAAACAAAGTTAAATGCAAGTATCGATATGTATCCCCTAACTCACACACGCCTCACTACCATAAGAGAGGTGTGCCTCTTGTCTATATGAACAGTGGGCAGTGACGGCGCTGGCCACGTTTCCTATTAAGCGCTGTTTGCGCAGCGATCGTCCCTGTTTGTGTTTACGTGTCTGCGCGTATGTCTCTATGCGTATTTTAGATTGCGAACACACGGGCACATCGTTGAAATTGGCCATCTCTTCGATGCAAGTTTCTGTATATTTTATGATATTACGTGTGATTGACGTCAACTTCATTGTTTAGCACCGTTGATTGTCTGCTACACTCACACCTGAACTTGAAACTTACAACGGAAACTTCCTAAAAAAAAAAAAAAAACTTTCAAAATGGGGCGTCATTCAAAGGTGTGTCGTAAGCAATGGACTGGTTTATTGAAGATCAATACATCTACAGCGCACCATAATAATTACAAAAGTATAGGTATTAGTCGTTACACAAATATAATTACTAAATTACGATTTTGAATATTACGTATATTATGTTGTTATAATATCCGAGAGGTTAGTTGTATTATGCCATGCCAAATTTAAGTATTTTATTATTTTAAATATTTATTTGAAGTATTGATATTTTATTTAAATATAAAAAAGAAGTCACTCCAATGAAACTGCACGGTAGAACGCACTATCAACCAGCTGGGCCTGATGGCATCCCTCCGATCGTGTTACAGACATGTGCTCCAGAGTTGGCGCCGGTTTTAACGCGTCTCTTCCGGCACTCCTATACTTTAGGCGTAGCCCCGAAATCATGGAAGGCCGTGTTAGTGCACCCGATCCCTAAAAAAGGCAACCGCTCTGATCCGTCCAATTACAGGCCAATAGCCATCACCTCCTTGTTCTCCAAGATAATGGAGTCTGTTATCAACGGCCAGCTCCTGCGGTACCTAGAGGAGCACCGGCTGATTAGCGACCGCCAGTATGGATTTCGTCGGGGTCGCTCAGCCGGTGATCTTCTGTTCTACCTTACACATCGATGGGCAGAAGCAGTTGAGAGCAAGGGGGAGGCGCTTGCAGCCAGTCTGGACATAGCGAAGGCCTTTGAACGGGTATGGCATAAAGCGCTTCTTTCGAAGCGGCCTCCTGATAAATTACGCAATTGGATCAAAAGCTTTTTGGCAGATCGGAGCATCAAGGTCGTCGTCGACGGTGCATGCTCCGATCCTAAATTTGTCAATGCTTGTGTTCCACACGGCTGCGTACTGTCTCCTACTCTGTTTCTTCTGCATATCAATGACATGTTGCAAATCAGCAACGTCCATTGTTATGCAGACGATAGCACTGTGGATGTCTCGTACACTGGCCGAGCTAACATTTCTCGGGAAAACGTCTACGAGTGTCGGAACAAGCTTGTGTCTGAGGTCTAGACTTTGTTAACCAAAGTCTCAGACTGGGGTCGACTAAACCTAGTCCAATTCAACCCCAAAAAGACACAAGTTTGCGCGTTAACCGCTAAAAAGTCCCCATTTGTCGTGACTCCTCATTTCGAGAACACTCCCCTACCTGCCACAGCTAGTATCGGAATGCTTGGCGTCGAAATCTCGAGCAACGTCCAGTTCCGCGGTCAATTGGAAGGTAAGGCCAAATTGGCCTCAAAGAAGCTTGGCGTGCTCAGCAAGGCGAGACGGTACTTCACGGCTGCCCAACGCCTAAACCTGTATAAGGCGCAAATTCGGCCCCACATGGAGTACTGTTCTCACCTCTGGGCGGGAGCCCCCTATTACCAGCTTCTTCCATTTGACCGCATTCAACGTAGGGCGGCTAGGGTTATCGACGATCAAAGTCTTTCCGATCGGCTTGATCCTCTGGCTCTGGCGTAGAAATGTTGGATCACTCTGCATCTTCTACCGCATTTATCACGAGGAGTGTTCTGAGGAATTGTTTAGATTGATCCCGGCGGCTGAATTCCACCATCGGACATCGCGCCAGAACCAAAAATTTCATCCACACCACCTCGATGTCCAACGTTCCACGACAGCACGATTTTTAAGGCTTTTCTTGCCTCGCACAACCACTCTGTGGAACCAACTGCCGCCGGCGGTCTTTCCGAACCGTTACGACCTGGGAACCTTCAAAAAGAGAGCGTACTCTTTCTTAAAATGTCGGCAACGCATTTGTGAGCCCTCGGGTGTTGCAGGTGTTCATGGGCGGCGGTAATCACTTACCATCAGGTGAGCCTCCTGCTCGTTTGCCCCTTTTCTCCATAAAAAAAAAAAAAAAAAAGCTATAATGCACACGTTAGGAACAGTTGTCTATTTTATTTCCATAATTTTTTACTGCTTTATTGCCGTGAGTTTGTATGGCAAATTATATTTGAGTTGTAGAGTAAAAATGTTTGGAATTATAATATTTTTGGCCACAATATAAAATGTTAATATATATAGTATAAACTATAAACACTAATTTCCAGAAATTATAACATATGTAATAAACAGCATATTCACTATGTTTCATTCTGGGCTAATGCCTCTACTGTCAAAAGCGTGACGCCATTTTTTTGGATACTTGCAATAATCAACTAGGAAAAAGGAATAATATTCAGTTAAATTTTTCTGTCACATATGGCTATTACTGAAAAAACTGAAAAAAAAACGAAAATTTATTATAGAAGTTCGATGTATAGGGTGATAGGCCACTGACTTAGTTGTTCCCCGCAACGCCCTCCGTCAGAGCGAACGGCTCGTCACCGTTTCAGTGTCGCGCTGAAGGGTGCTCATCCCCGCTCGTGCACCCGAACAAATTTGTCCTAGTTACGAGGCTCACGGTGTTAATATATTATCCGTGTCAATGTTTTCCATTACGGATATAAAATAATATTCCAAATTTATTGACAATTAAAACATGTAGAATTACTTAGCCTACTTTTTTTTAGAAACGTTCAGTGCTTAGACCGTGTGATCACTTAAGTAATCTCGATTTGTAATAGTAAAACTATCATCACATAAGATCGTCTAGTTCAAAGGATTCTTATAAATTATAAATTAAGCACTGTTTGACGTGTAGCAGCCGTAGATCTCGTATCTGGCCGAAACAGCCGCCTCACTACGGCGTCCATTGAAAAAGGCGGCGGTAGTACTCGAGCGCGAGGCTGGGGCGCGCGGGGCGGCTGCGGGCGGGCGGGGGTCATGATCGTTACCGTATGGGCGGGCGGGGGCCAGTCGCCGCCCGCCCTAGCGTCGCTCCGCACGCGTCGCACGCGGCGTCCCGCGCCTCTAGCCTCTACGACATATCACTGTTTACCCTAGTGTTGTTTTACGTAGTTTTTACAAGGTCCCGTTTACGGCCTACCTGCGTGGCCTTCCCTTCCGTCTCATCACACATCACCGCGGTGCGCTGGCTCGACTTGCGATTCGTTTCCTTATCACAGCACGTTCATGTTGCACGACTTCTGAAGCGTGAAGATACAAAATGTTCGATTTTAACTGGCCAGTTTCTGGTTAACGCAAGGAGTTTAAACGTGTAAACCTCATCGTTAACAATGTTTCCACCGTGCGTCGAGGGTAATTATATGATGGCGTCGCCAGTTTGCTGATATTAAGTCATCATAGTAAAATGAAAATATAATTTACATGTTTATACATGTAGCGAACGTTACCGATCTACTACTGTATTCTTTGATGTTTTAGGGCAATGAAATCGTTTAGAGGTAAAAGATGACTTTGCGTGTATATTTCAAATAAAACTTTGCTTTCCATTTGACATAAATATCCGAAATGTCAAGTTCACGTAAAATCTTGTAAAATGTGTTTTATAAATTTTGAATTTTTTAATGAAGGCTCTGTTTTGATCATGTTCTTTCGTGTTTGTTTGATCGAGATAAAGCGTTTCGAAACTAATAGCTTAACTACTAAAATATATGTTAGATTACTAAACAGTATTTTCCTCTTAATAATGAGGACTTAAATCTTTTAATTCTGAAAACCCAGACGTATCTAGCGAATGCTAATCAATTTCCCTCACCGTGTCAAAACGAAAAGGGTGACTGTCGCTGGATAATATATCCAAATCGAAACAAGAAACAAATGCCAAAAAGTTAACAACCGAAAAGTAAACGCTATCCTCATTGCACGATATAGCCACAGCTATAATGTATATCCCTGCCATAGTATATGCGTATTTTAATATTATAACACATAAACGATGCTTAAAAGAGATAGTTAATCCAGCCAACAGACGCCACCCAGTCCAATAGCTGCTCTTCTTTTAATTTGGACGCATGCAATGATGCTAAAAGAATCCTGAGTCGTGTTGTTCTCTGTATTGCTGCTCAATGACCACTCCTGGGTTGGTGCACGGTATGCCCTTGAGTAGAGATACTTTGTTTGCACCCATCGTCCATTCGCACCATTTATTTCCACTAGCAGGATTGACGCTAATAACAGTTATTAAAACGAAACTCGATAAAATATTATTAAAACTAAACGCTTTGCATCAGTTTATTAAACAATAAACTTCCATTACTTAGCATAGACTATTAATGGGGTAAAACTTGTGTTATTTTTTTAGATGTTTATTTTCCTGATAATCTTTTAAACGAGGTTTGTCATCGCCTTCGAAAAAAACATATACATTTTAGTACATTAGATTTCTTTTCTTCCTATTCACTTTTAATGTAATTAACAATAAACGCTTCTAAATGTTCTATGATTAGGCGTCATAGCCTATTTTTTTTAAATAAGCGAGATAAATCCGCGAAAATAGTTTAATAACCTGTATTATTCACGTAGATCTGAAGCATTATTACACATATTTCTTGTTTTTGTTTCCTAGCTTCGTAGAACAATGGCACCGATTTTTCTATTAAAGCGAATTTTAGAAGTAAGGTTCGATTAAGTTATGACGAAAGCCTCATTTATATTCCCTTAACCTGTGTTTGATTATTGTACGTCAGGAATTGCAAACTAAACTATAAATTCGAATACAAATGTTTGTTTATAATCACACAACTTACAAATAATGTAAACTCAATTAAACTCTCTAAAAAAAGGCAATACCGTAAGAAAATTTACTTAACTAGAATATATGTACTGTAATGTACAAAAATAATAAAAAGAAACATCAAATACAGTATTAATTTTCCCGTAGCAAAACAGTCAAGCAGTTATTTACAAATTGTCCGATAAAAAAACTCCATTGTGTTGCTTGTTACGAAATAAAGATACTCAAATTATTCAGAAGCTGCGAAGAGTTCGCAAGAGCTCCGAACTCACCTTTGTCGTCTTATCATTTTATTGAGTGGAATATAAAACAAAATCATAAATTCAACCTTCACGAAGGACATCGATAATTTCTCGTCTTTAAATTACTAAGAAACAATGAATGATTCAAACTTTTCACTGCTACGAGAGCAATACTTAACAAAATTCTGTAAACAGAATTTTTATTTAATGTGTAATCAAATTGTACTCGAAAGGAAGCAGGAAGAAAAGCGGCAAAGTTCAGCTTAGCAACATAAAAATATAATTTAGTAATATTGCTAACAAAACAGACTAATACAGCATTGTTCCGTTTGTGTCCGTACAACACGGATTATGGGTGACATTGTAATTATCCACATGTGGTACCCCGGGGGGACACGTATACGTTATCAGCCAAATCTGGCGAATGGACATTCGTTGCTTTAATATTAAATAAAGTGTTAGTATCCTGTGTATAGACTCAGTTTACTGTCTGCTTTAAATGGGTAGACAGGTGATTTAGACGCATTTGGAGGGATTATAGCTCGTTAATCTAGTAGGCGTCAAGCCAACAATTTACTCGTAAATCTTTCCACGAAACTACGCACCGGAACAGGACCGGAAGTTCGTCGTGCACGTCGAGGGAGCCGACTCGGCGGTACGATGCATCAAAGCCGGTGTACCACAAGGTAGTTGTCTGTCGCCACACCTGTATGCGGTGTACACGGACGACATTCCCACCTTGGAGCAAAACGCCTCCGACTGAGATGAAGACGTACTGTTGGCCCTGTACGCGGACGACAGTGCGTTCTTCACGTCTTCTCACGTCGCGGCGATTGCGGCGAGGAAAATGCAGCGCCAACTGGACCTGCTGCCCGAGTGGCTGGATAAGTGGCGGATGTCTGTCAACGTCGACAAGACGTCCGCCATATATATCCGCCGCATTAAAAACCAACCCACGCTTGAGCTGCGAGGTCAGGCGATTACCAACCAGAACGTCATAAGGTACCTTGGGTGCCGGATAGACCGCTCGCTGTGCATGGCTCCCCAGGTCGGACACGCCGTCCGACAAGCCAGAGCAGCTCGAGCCATGCTGTACCCTATCCTGGCATCCAGGTTACCGATCAAGACCAAACTCGGCGTCTACAAGACGTACGTACGTTCGCGCCTGACCTACGCCGCTCCGGCGTGGTATGGTCTGGTTTCCGCCTCGCAGAGGCGCAGGCTCCAGGCGCAGCAGAACCTCGCCCTTCGAGTAATCGTGGGGGCCGGGCGCTACGTCAGGAATGACGTAATCGCCCGCGATCTAAAAATCAAATCCATCCAGGAGTTTGTGGTCCGGTTGGCCCGTCGCATGTACGACCGGGCCGACAACGGACCACATCCACACCTACAAAATATCGCACCCCTACACGCCCGTCCTCCTGACGGGCGCCCGCTCCCACGAGAGCTACTGCGGTCGGAGGCCACTGGGGAGCCGGACCCGACCGCACTTCCGCCGTTGAGAAGACGATGTCGTCCACGCGTTACACACCGCGTGTAACGCTGTACACTCGCCAGTGCCGCTACCGCGGTCAGAGCTAGGGGTGGCCGTCGGCCATCCTCATCACCGACCAGCCATTGCTGGTCGAGATTATGTCCGAGGCATAGGGGAAGCCCCGATACTTGAATAAAATCAGGCCTCGCGCCAGCTTCGTACATCATCAAACTACGCATTGTCATAACGCAATAATTTTAAATGCTTTGGAAAATGTATGACGTATTTATTATACCGTTTACTAACTGATATGTATTCATATTTTTAACTATTTGATATTTTAATATTTTTTTTATTTTATGTAATCATATTTTAATTTAATTGTGATTGACTGAAATATCTTGAATTCGTTGGTGTTTTCAAACTATCTTGTTTGTTTTATGTATAGATGACATCACGATATATGTGATGTATCAATATAAAGGTTCGTAACATTTTTTCACTGTCTAAGGATTACTCTACCGTTGAACATGTATCATAAAAACCGGAAAAGTGGATCATGTAAACAATTCTGAGAACATTATAGTCTTGTGTGTAAATTTCATTTACGCTGTTTTATCTCATCTTATGTCATAACTGATAAAATACTATGAAATAAATTTCAGCCATCATACTTTATGATGCAAACATCCGGTAGGATACGGCTTTTAATTACTTATGTATAAAATGATTTATTTGTAAAAAACTAATGTGACGTTAGTGAGTTTCGTTAACTCTTGTTTTGGACTACCAGGTTTTAAATTTGGAAGGTTTCATTCCTGCAATGAGTAATTTTTTTTTACTTAATAATTATAGCCGCTGGAAACGTTTAACTCACAATGAAACATATATTACTGGTTGAAGATGATAACTACTTTGCAATAGTAATTTTTTTTTAAAATAGATGACATAAGAAAACGTATATTTTCTTAGTGAAGTCTATTTCTATAACAGAATCGACCGTCTCGACCCCAATGCGGCCGTCATTCAAGAAGTTTTCCACCAGCGAGTGGGTCGTCAAGTTCCAAGTGTCCGCTAAAATCTTCTTCGCCTTAAGGCTAAAAGAAATGGAAAATGAAAATGAGTCACTTGATACATAGGAAAAAATAAATCGCCTTCCTTATTTGTACACTCTTTCTGTTGTCAGTTTTTCTTTAGTTCTACGGCTTAAGCTTCAATCATCTTATCTTCTCCAAGCGTGCATTAGTTTTTGGTATCATTAAAGATACATGAGTACACTTCAAGAAAAATGAGTAGAAAAAATGGGGAAAATGAATATTATGCATTCCGTTGTAATTGTTATTTTTTTTTGATAACGTGAAGGCGATTTATCTTCATTGAGAGTGCCTTCAAAAGAATCCCGAAAATATTTAATTGTATCTTAAAGACTATCTACTTTGTAATCATTTTATATGCGCTAAGTAAAAGTCAACAAATAAAATAGGATACAAATGTCCTAAGACATGAATCCGTTACATTTGTAAACGAGAGAGATTCTTCAGGAAGTTTTGATCTATCAGTTCATGAACCGATCAATATAGTAATTATA